TGCTATCTGCCCAGGCAGGCTTACTTAATCTGATGTCCTCTACATGTGTAGGACTGCATCTGTCCTGGTCATGTTGATTGGGGATGATAGAAACTGCAATCCGACATAGCTTAAGGGCAATTGTTAGTGAAAGCCTCTCTTAGGCTACATTATCCAGAGTAGGAGCAAGAAGCTTCTTTAGAAGATATGACAATATGCTCAACTCATGCAATATCATTTATAAAGGATATTATGATATAATTCTGAGCAGTAAAATAGTTTGTAGTTTGCGACTGTTTAGTTTATTTAAAAAATGTATTTGTCTTCATGGATCAAGACACATGGGTCAATGACGTGGTGTTTGTGAAACTTTTCTGTTCTAGGGGATAATATCATTCTACCAGTTTTGACTACTGGGCAGGTGGATGGGTATGGAGAATGGCAAGAGGAAATGTAGGCTTGTTCCTGTGCTTCAGAGTTCTGCTTCTTCGAATGGCTCATCAGAAGCCACATGGTTTTTCTTCAAAGGCCAAAAGAGAGGCTGGCTGGCAAACCATAATGGCCAAGAGGCGCTCATCTCCTATGTAGGCCTGCCAGACATACTTCACCAATGATCGCACGTTCCATAAAAGGGTGCATTAGCAGACGCAATCCTTGCTATTCATCTTCATTTTAAACACTTATCTGGTGACAGACCTGGGAGAGTTGCTGGTCAAATAAACCTCAAGGCAAGCCACACAAAAAGTTTGTTGTCTCACTTGGGCATTTTTTGCCTCATCTGCTTCTCTATTCTGCTTTGGTCAGACCTCACCTGGAAGACCGTGTCTAGTTCTGGGTATTTATTTTATTTATTAGTATATTTCTACTCCCCCCCCTCACCCTGGAGGGGACTCAGAGCAGCTTATAGTTTGGCAAATTTCCATGCTACATTATAAATATACAGTTCAAGAAGGATATTGACAAGCTATTACATCTTCAGAGAAGGGCAACCAAAATGATTAAAAGTCTAGAAACCATGCCTTATGAGGAGGGGTTTAGGGAGGTGGGTATGTTTCACCTGGTAATGAGAGGTTGCAAGGGGACATGATAGCACTGGGGCTGTGGCACAGCTGGCTGGGAATCACCTGCATTAAGATAACTACTGACCGAAAAGTCATGTGTTTGAAGCCAGCCTGGGTCGGAGTGAGCTTCCAACCAATTTGTGTAACTTGTTGTCAACCTTTGCAGCCCAAAAAACAGTTGCATCTGTCAAGTAGGAAATTTAGGTACCACTATGCAGGGAGGCTAATTTAACTAATTTACGATGCCATAAAAATCTCCAACAAGCATGGAAAGAATGAGGAATTACTTAGGCAAGTGGGGTTTATATATCTGTGGAAGGTCCAGGGTGGGATAAAGAATTCTTGTCTGCTTGGGGCAAGTGTGAATGCTGCAATTGGCCACCTTGATTAGCATTTACTAGCCTTGCAGCTTCATAGCCTGGCTGCTTCCTGCCTGGGGAACCCTTTGTTGGGGGGGGGTGTTATCTGGCCCTGATTGTTTATTGTCTGGAATTCCCCTGTTTTTGAGTGTTGCTCCTTATTTGCTGTTCTGATTCTAGAGGTTTTTAAAAAAAATACTGGTAGCCAGATTTTGTTCATTTTCATGGTTTCCTCCTTTCTGTTGAAATTGTCCGCATGCTTGTGGATTTCAATGGCTTCTCTGTGTAGTCTGACATGGTGGTTGTGAGAGTGGTCCAGCATTTCTGTGTTCTCAAATAATATTCTGTGTCCAGGTTGGTTCATCAGGTGCTCTGCTATGGCTGACTTCTCTGGTTGGAGTAGTCTGCAGTGCCTTTCATGTTCTTGATACGTGTTTGGGCAATGCTGCATTTGGTGGTCCCTATGTAGACTTGTCCATAGCTGCATGGTATATGGTAGACTCCTGCAGAGGATCCCTCTTGTCCTTTGCTGAATGCAGCATTTGTAAAGAGTGTTGCAGTAGTCCAAACGGGATGTAACCAAGGCGTGGACTACTGTGGCCAGATCTGGCATCTCAAGGTATGGACATAGCTGGCACACTAGTTTTAATTGTGTGAAGGCACTCCTGGCCATCGCCAACACCCGGAGTTCCAGGGTCAGCAATGAGTCCAGGATCACCCCCAGACTGCGGACCTGTGTCTTCAAGGGGAGTGTGATCCCATCCAACACAGGCTACGATCCCACACTTTGGTCTGCCTTCTGACTGACGAGGAGTACTTCAGTTTTGTCTGGATTTACTTTCAACTTATGAGCCCTCATCCAATCTATCACTGATGACAGGCACCGGGTTAGGGGCAGGATGGCACTTTGGCATTCGGTGGAAAGGAGTAATAGAGTTGGGTATCATCAGTGTAAATTTGACACCAAACTCCAAAACTCTGGATGATCTCTCCCATATGACTCATGGGGTTTATATGTCTGTGGAATGTCCAGGGTGAGAGAAAGAACTCTTGTCTTTTTTTTTTTTTAATTTTATTAAACACAAAAGAAAATTTTATTTACATAAAAAGAGGTGGAACAATAAGGTTATAGGAAAGTAGGAAAACAGATTTGACAAACAAGGGTGAGAGGGAAAAGATTTTAAAAAGTCCTATTGACTTCCATTCCAGGATTTGTGATTCAAATTACTTTTCTTAATTGAACTGTTCCCCTTATTTTAGTTAGTTTTTACAATCTTCTGCTTGAGTTATCATATTCCTCAAAGGGGTTCCGATTTGTCCCTTTTGTCAACTTTCCCGCATTCTTCTTTAAAAGATAAGCGAGGAGGAGCTGAGGAGCCTTCTAACCAAGGTGAAAGCGCAAAAGCTGGGTTGCAGTTAAACATTAAAAAAAAACCAAGATTATGGCAACAAGAATGATTGATAACTGGCAAATAGAAGGAGAAAACGTGGAGGCAGGGACAGGCTTTGTATTTCTAGGCACAAAGATTACTACAGATGCAGACTGCAGCCAGAAAATCAGGAGACATTTACTTCTTGGGAGGAGAGCAATGTCCAATCTCGATAAAATAGTGAAGAGTAGAGACATCACACTGGCAACCAAGATCCGCATAGTCAAAGCCATGGTATTCCCTGTAGTAACCTACGGATGTGAGAGCTGGACCTTAGGGAAGGCTGAGCGAAGGAAGATAGATGCTTTTGAACTGTGGTGTTGGAGGAAAGTTCTGAGAGTGCCTTGGACCGCGAGAAGATCCAACCAGTCCATCCTCCAGGGAAGAGGTTAGGGGTTCAAACCCCTCCAAAATGTTTCAGATTTTTTTAAAAACCTGGTTTACTCATGAATTTTAACTGGTTAACCAAATCCCCATGCTAAGTCTATGAGATGCAAAAAATTAAGAGTCTCTCCAGAACTGCAAGCACTATCTCAGGCAAATATTGACAATTTATTCACACTGTCATTACTTGCAGCAATAGCCAATGTGGTGAAGCAACCAAGTTGGGTGTGTGTGTGTTGAATGTTCTCATTAAGGAGGCCAGACTTGGTGGAGGTGGTTGACAGGGGCAGAGCTGCAGGCTATTGAAGGCTGCTCTGCCCCCTGCTGTGCTCTTTGTTTCAGCATGAGCTAAGAGGCAGGTTTCAACCCCCCCACCACGAAATTTTCAACCCTCCCCCTCTGAAAATTTCAAACCCTCCCGAAATTTTTTTCTGGCTACAGCCCTGCAACCAGTCCATACTTCAATAATGCCCGACTGCTCATTGGAGGGAAGGATATTAGCGACAAAGTTGAAGTACTTTGGTCACATAATGAGGAGACAGTAAAGCTTAGAGAAGACAATGATGCTGGGGAAAATGGAAGAGGGGCCGACCAAGGGCAAGATGGATGGATGATATCATTGAAGTGACTGGCTTGACCTTGAAGGAGCTGGGGGTGGTGACAGTTGACAGGGAGCTCTGGTGGGGGCTGGTCCATGAAGTCACGAAGAGTCTGAAGTGACTGAACAAATAAATATGTTTAAATAAATATGTGTATATGGCTGAGAGAGTGTGACTGCACAACTTCTGTGCCTTTCAGGGAGTTTATTTATTTAATTTCATGCATTTCTACCCCACCCTTCTCTCCCCCGAAGGAGGACTCAGGGCGGCTTCACACAAGCACCATATGATGCTATCACCATATAAAACAGTAAAAAAAATACATTAAAAATACATTAAAAGAATTCATTAAACAATAGATTCAACATGCCAGTTAAAACCAAATCCAAGTCAGGGTTAATTCAATGTTTCAGGGGTTCTAAGTCTTCTCTCCAGTTGCTGCTGTCCACTAATCGAACACCTGGTCCCAAACTAAGTCTTCGATTTTCTTATAAAGGACAGGAGGGAGGGGCAGGGGGCCACTGCCGAGAAGGCCCTATCTCTCATCCCCACCAATGGTGGGATTGAGAGCAGGGCCTCTCCTGAAGATCTTAAACTTCATGATGGTTTGTAACAGGAGATACGTTCAGACAGGTTCACACCAGGCATGTGCGAACTTCGGCCCTCCAGGTATTTTGGACTTCATCTCCCACAATTCCTAACAGACTCAGGCCCCTTCCTCTCCCAACCGCCCTCAGCCGGGGAAAGGAAGGGGCCTGAGGCTGTTAGGAATTGTGGGAGTTGAAATCCAAAACACCTGGAGGGCTGAAGTTCGTCCATGACAGGGTTAGATTGTGGTCATAGTCTTGTATGCCTTGGGAAGTGGGACATCCCTGACATAGGCAGCATGGGCTTGGTCTAGTCAAGCAAGAGATGGAAGACAACCACTTTGGGGGGCGTGAGAGTTCTTGTGGGGTCACCACAAGAAATGAGACAGAGGGCGCCTTTTCCACAGAAGTGGAGACGCCCTTGAGGTAGGTACCAAGAGTCAATGAGTGTCCACCTGTGTGTGAGAGAGAGAGCGCGCGCGAGGGAGCGCGTGAGAAGACAATATCATCTCGAGCCCCCCTTTTTTCCCGCCTTTTTCTGCCTCCAAGGGAGGGGGGGGAGAATGGGACGTGCCCGAGCCTTGCATCTTCTCTTGGTGCGTCTCGTGCGTCTGTGCGAGAGAGGGAGGGGGGCGGTGAGGGAGTGTGTGTCGCCTCCTCAGCAGCAGCAGCAGCATTGGAGGGAAGGACAATCCCGAGCAGCAGCAGTAGCAGCATCCAAACAAGCCTTCTGTGGGGAAGGGAAGAAGGATTGAGCGGAGGGAGCAGCAGGAGGAGCCCCTCGCCCAGGAAGCCGCCGAGGGGCTGGTGCTGAGGGAGGACTCCCGGGGAATGCGGCAGTGAGGGAAGGAGGAGGAGGAGGAGGAGGAGGAGGAGAAGGCGCCTTCCCGTTGGCTTGCCTTGGCGAAGACTCCCCTCCGCTTGCCTGGCTTGGAAGGAGACGGAGCGCGCGCCCTCGCCCAGCCTGGCCGGGGCTGAGTGAGGGGCTGAGGAGGCGCCAAGCAAAGAGGGGCACCGGAGAGGCAGCAGGAGCATCTCTCTTTCCATTGGCAGCCCTAAGGAAGGAGCAGGCGCCATTGCCAGGAGGCTTAGCGCCGGGGGGCGTCCTCCTCCTCCTCCTCTGCCTGCACCCCCTTCCCCTTCCTTTGCCCCCACAGGATGCCTTCCTCCGCCTCCCCCCGGCGGCCCAGCCCGGCCCCTCCGCCCGCGTGGCCCTTGCTCCTGCTCTTCCTCCTCCTCATCTTGGCCTCTTCCTCCTCCTCGTCGTCGGCCTGGGCGCGGAGCAGCTCCCGAGCGCTGTCCGGGATGCCCCCTTCTTCCTCCTCCTCCTCCAGCAGCACCCCCATCGCCATCATGGGTTTGATGCCGCTCAGCGACGCCGTGGAGAAGGGCAAGATCGGGCGCGGGGTGCTGCCAGCCATGCAGCTGGCCATGGAGCAGATCCTCAACGAGTCCTTGCTCAGCCCTTACGCCCTGGACCTGCGCTACTACGACACCGAGGTGAGGCCGGCACCTGGGGAATTGGGCGCCAGGGCAGCTAGGCAGGGAGCCACGCCAGGTCTCCACAGCCCCTTCCGCACAGCTGGATCCAATCCACACTGACGCGGGTTATCTGGCAGGGTGGACTCACTAAGAGCCCTTCCACACAGCTGAATGACATCCACACTGAACCGGGTATCTGGCAGTGTGGACTCACTAAGAGCCCTTCCACACAGCTGAATGAAATCCACACTGAACCGGATTATCTGGCAGTGTGGACTCACTAAGAGCCCTTCCACACAGGTGCATCGAATCCACACTGAAGTGGGTTATCTGGCAGTGTAGACTCAGGCCCCTTCCCCACAGTTGAACCGGGTTATCTGGCAGTGTGAACTCAGGTCCCTTCCGCACAGCTGGATAAGATCCTCACTGAACCAGGTTATCTGGCAGTTTGGACTCACTAAGAGCCCTTCCACACAGCTGGATCAAATCCACACTGAACCGGGTTATCTGGCAGTTTGGACTCACTAAGAGCCCTTCTGCACAGCTGGATCAAATCCACACTGAACCGGGTTATCTGGCAGTGTGGACTCACTAAGAGCCCTTCTGCACAGCTGGATCAAATCCACACTGAAGTGGGTTATCTGGCAGTGTGGACTCAGGCCCCTTCCGCACAGCTGAACCGGGTTATCTGGCAGTGTGGACTCACTAAGAGCCCTTCTGCACAGCTGGATCAAATCTACACTGAACCGGGTTATCTGGCAGTGTGGACTCAGGCCCCTTCTGCACAGCTGAACCAGGTTTTCTGGCAGTGTGGACTCACAAGAGCCCTTCCACACAGCTGGATCAACTCCGCACTGAAGTGGGTTATCTGGCAGTGTGGACTCACTAAGAGCCCTTCCACACAGCTGGATCAAATCCACACTGAACCGGGTTATCTGGCAGTGTGGACTCACTAAGAGCCCTGCACAGCTGGATCAAATCCACACTGAAGTGGGTTATCTGGCAGTGTGGACTCAGGCCCCTTCCGCACAGCTGAACCAGGTTATCTGGCAGTGTGGACTCACTAAGAGCCCTTCTGCACAGCTGAATGAAATCCCCACTGAAGCTGGTTATCTGGCAGTGTGGACTCACTAAGAGCCCTTCCACACAGCTGGATCAAATCCACACTGAACCGGGTTATCTGGCAGTGTGGACTCACTAAGAGCCCTTCTGCACAGCTGAATGACATCCACACTGAACCGGGTATCTGGCAGTGTGGACTCACTAAGAGCCCTTCCACACAGCTGAATGAAATCCACACTGAACCGGATTATCTGGCAGTGTGGACTCACTAAGAGCCCTTCCACACAGCTGCATCAAATCCACACTGAAGTGGGTTATCTGGCAGTGTGGACTCACTAACAGCCCTTCCACACAGCTGAATGAAATCCCACATTATCAGCTTTGAACTGGAATATATGACAGTGTGGGTCAGTTCAGATAACCCAGTTCAAAGCAAATATTGTGCGGTGTTCTGCCTTGATATTCCGGGCTATATGGCTGTGTGGAAGAGCCCTAACCCTCTTCGGCCCCTTCCACACAACTGTGTAAAATCCACACTGAACCGGGTTTTCTGGCAGTGTGGACTCAGGCCCCTTCCACACAGCTGAATGAAATCCCACATTATCTGCTTTGAACTGGAATATAAGGCAGTGTGGACTCAGATGACCCAGGGCCCTTCCACACAGCCATATATCTCAGAATATAAAGGCAGAAAATCCTACAATATCTGCTTTGAATTGTGTTTTCTGCCTTGATATTCTGGGATATATGGCTGTGTGGAAGGGTTCTAAGCTGCTTCAGCCCCTTCTATACAGCTCTATCAAATCCACATTGAACTGGGTTATCTGACAGTGTGGACTCATATAACCCAGTTTATAGCAGATATTGTGAATTATCTGCCTTGACGTTCAGGGTTATATGGCTGTGTCGAAGGGCCCTATGCCTCTTCTGCCCCTTCCACAAAGCTGTATCAAATCCACACTCAACTGGGCTATCTTATATTGTGGACTCAGGGTCCTTCCACACAGCCATATAACCCAGAATATCAAGGCAGAACACTCAGTGGTGCAGCGGGTTAAACCACTGAGATAATGAACTTGCTGATGAAAGGTCGGCCATTTGAATCCAGGGAGCAAGGTGAGCACCCGTTGTTAGCCCCAACTTCTGCCAACCTAGCAGTTTGAAAACATACAAATGTGAGTAGATCAATAGGTATCGCTCCGGCAGGAAGGTAGTGGTGCTCCATGCAGTCATGCCTTCCACATGACCTTGGAAGCATCTATGGACAATGCCAGTTCTTTGGCTTAGAAATGGAGATGAGAACCACCCCCCAGAGTCAGACACTATTAGACTTCATGTCAAGGGGAAACCTACCTTTACCTATGGCTGTGTGGAAGGGCCCTTCCACACAGACATATTACCCAGAAAATCAAGGCAGAAAATCCCGCAATATCTGTTTTGAGCTGGGTTATCTGAGTCCACACTCGGATAATGTGGGGTTTCCTGCCTTGATATTCTGGGATATAGGGAAGGGACCTGGGTTATTGGAATCCACACTGCCATATATTCCAGTTTAAAGGAGACACTGTGGTATTTTATTTGGCTGTGCAGAAAGAGCCTCAGGTAACCCAGTTCAAAGCAGATATTGTGGATTATCTGCCTTGATATTCTGGGATATAGGGATGTATGGAAGGGACCTGGGTTATTTGAATCCACAGTGCCATATATTCCAGTTCAAAGCAGATGATGTGGTATTTTATTTGGCTGTTTAGAAGGAGTCTCAGGTAACTCCATTTAAAGCAGATATTGTGGATTATCTGCCTTGATATTCTGTTCTATAGGGCTGAGTGCACAGTGCCAACCTAGGTTGCTAGAAAGGATGGGCAGAGATAAAGGTTGGTGTCCCATCTCTTGGAAGTGGAGTCACTCACTCTGGATTTGGGGCCTGCCCAGTGGGGGGGGGGGGGGGATAAGAGGAAGAGGGAACCAATCCTTTGGAAATGGAGTCACTAAGAACCCTTTCACGCAGCTGAATAAAATCCCCCATTATCTGTTTTGAACTGGGATATATGGCAGTGTGGACTCAGATAACCTAGTTCCAAGATATTGTGGGCTATTCTGCCTTGATATTCTGGGTTATATATCTGTGTGGAAGCGACTTGAGTTATCTGAGCCCCCCTTCAACACTGCTGAATAAAATCCACTATTACTTGTTTTGAACTGGGATATATGGCAGTATGGACTCAGATAACTGAGTTCAAAGATATTGTGGGCTATTCTACCTTGATATTCTGGGTTATATGGCTGTGTGGAAGGGACTTGAGTTAACAAATCCATTAACAAATCCTCGAAGCACTTTAGTAGAACTAAGATGATTGCACACCGCACACTGCACTTGCCCTATAATCCTCGTATACCTCCTGCCACTTCAGCACTTTTAATCTTGTACCCACTACTCTGGCCCGGCCCAGTTTTATTGTGTTGATGTTGTTCATTGTATGTCGTTAATATTGCTTTAACTGTTTTTAATTTTGCTTTTGGTGTTATATTGTTTATGTTGTGTTTTGTGGCCTTGGCCTTTGTAAGCCGCATCGAGTCCTTCGGGAGATGCTAGCGGGGTACAAATAAAGTTAATAATAATAATAATAATAATAATAATTTTGTTATCTAAACCCCACTTCCACACAGCTGAATAAAATCCACTATTATCTGTTTTGAACTGAGATATATGGCAGTGTGGACTCAGATAACCCAGTTCCAAGATATTATGGGCTATTCTGCCTTGATAACCTGGGTTATATGGCTGTGTGGAAGGGACTTGAGTTACCTGAGCCCCCCTTCCACACAGCTGAATAAAATCCCCTATTATCTGCTTTGAACTGGGATATATGGCAGTGTGGACTCCGATAACCGGGATATATGGCAGTGTGGACTCCGATAACCCAGTTCCAAGATATTGTGAGCTATTCTGCCTTGATAATCTGGATTATATGGCTGTGTGGAAGGGATTTGAGTTATCTGAGCCCCCCCCCCCCTCTACAGAGCTGAATAAAATCCAGGATTACTTGTTTTGAACTGGGATATATGGCAGTATGAACTCAGATAACTGAGTTCAAAGATACTGTGGGCTATTCTGCCTTGATATTCTGGGTTATATGGCTGTGTGGAAGGGACTTGAGTTGTCTGAGCCCCCCCCCCTTCCACACACCTGAATAAAACCCACTATTATCTGTTTTGAACTGGGATATATGGCAGTGTGGACTCAGATAACCCAGTTCCAAGATATTGTCAGCTATTCTGCCTTGATAATCTGGGTTCTAGGGCTGTGTGGAAGGGACTTGAGTTATCTGAGGCCCCCTTCCACACAGCAGAATAAAATCCACTATTATCTGCTTTGAACCGGGATATATGGCACTGTGGACTCAGATAACACAGTTCCAAGATATTGTGGAACTGGGTTATCTGAGTCCACACTGTGTGGAAGGGACTTGAGTTATCTGAGGCCCCCTTCCACACAGCTGAATAAAATCCACTATTATCTGCTTTGAACTGGGATATATGGCAGTGTGGACTCAGATCCAGTTCAAAGCAGATATTATGGAATTTTTCTGCCTTGATATATATGGCTGTGTGGGAGGAAGGGCCCTCATAAGCATTTGTCCGATACGCTCTGTGGCCTCGCTTCCCGCATTGAGAGAGAGAGAGAGAGAGAGAGAGAGAGAGCATCTCCTTTTCCTGCCCAGGAAGTCCCTTCAGCAACAGATGCCCGCCGGTGAGCTTGGCCACCCAGCCCAATGCCCTGCCCTGCAAGGAGATGCAAAGCCCTGCTACTTGATGCGAGTAGAAAGAAAGCCGGGTTTCTGAGGCTTTAGTTGGGGAGAGAAAGAACGAGAGAGAGAGGGATAGAGAAAGAGAGGCTTGCCCTTTCCCCTCCGCCTCGTGCGCTGCCATCAGTAAACATAGTGCATCATTCTCCT